AAAAAGAAAACGATTAATCGATTATTAAATTAGTCATCGATTATTTTGATAATCGATTAGTCGTCGATTAACCGATTAATTGTGGCAGTCCTAGTCCGGACCCCAACTTTGTGAACCACTGATCTAGGACATGATGATTCGGTATAATTTTCGAAACAGAGCTCACAATAATACGCTTCTCTATTCAGCGCAGCTTGATTCGATATATCGATGCATATTACTTTTTACTTCTAGCTTAATGCAACTGACTAAACAAAACCAGCAAACATTTGTAAAATTATATATTACTGTAATAAAAACCAAAATGTGCTTGCAAAGTACAGCTAGCTATTTCGCTTACATTTTCTTGTGCTGGAATAATGTGCTGTTCTGCACCTTTCTCTAACTACAACTCTTACTATAACCTGGAATTGCATGCAATGAAAGGATTTTTAATTGTTGGGATCATTTTCTAATAAATTTGCACGCAAAACAAGTAAATAAAGGCTTAAAGTCTAAAAAGAGTTTAGTTTGTAATTTGTGTGAAGTTCTTAACCCATTATTGTGGCATTTATTTACTCGACTGTTTGCTTTTTGTCAAAGATGAAGCAATGAACCCTGGTATCAAAGAGATGGAGGCCGTGATTCTGGAGTGTGCCAAGCTGGACAGAGAGATAAACAACTTTGTCGACATCGTCCAACAGGTCATTCAGGTAAATACTAGATGGGAGAGTCACATCATCTGAGCAGAAAACAGTTTATTTCCAGGCTTTAATGGTCAGAGGAGTGTGTTAATGAAACGCATTAAGAGGTTTAACTTTAAGTGCAACCAAATAATTCTGAGTGCTGCCTTCCCTGTGTTTTCTGTCCATTTAACGTTTACTGGGAAATATTGCCTAACATCACAGGATACGAGCGCTAACATCTGCCACTTTTTGTAGGTTTCTCCTCAGCAGCCAGAGGACATGTTCAGCCTGTCTGCCAGAGTGAAGGAGCAGTTCTCAGAGAGAGCTGCTCAGCTCTCTGATGCTGAGCTGCACAAACACCCAAAAGTGGTTGCCTTCAAGGAAAACATCAAGAACTCTCTTCAACAAGGTCAGTAAGCCTGAGGATCAACTTGACCGGGTAAAAAAAGCAGCAAACAATTGGCTTTTCGAGCCCTGATCAGACCTGGTTCTAACATCTGTCTTGGCTGATTGGATTTGGTCAGGACAAGTGTAATAACAAAGATGTGGTTTCCTAACCTGCAAGTTGAATTAGTTACAGAGAACCTGTTGTGTTTTCCCTCCTAACTTCTGCTAGAATAGTTTTGAAATAAAAGCTGACAAAAACATTTGGCTGTGTCTGGCCTATCAGTCTTGTTTAGCCAGCTTTTTATCTGCTGTAAATATTTCGGACCATGCTGCTCAGATTTCTGCTGCTCACATCACAGAGGAGACTAGACTTCTCTGAACTAGACTACATCACCAGAAGTGCTACATTTGTTGTCATAAAAAAATAATTTGAAAGTGTAGGACTGATGCAGAATAAACATCCAGACTTTACATATATTTTTGGCTACCTAAACCTGCTGTATGCCATGCCTTCAAAAACCTGCAGGTAAAGTTAAGCAACCTGCAGGCTATGCCTTGTGTTTTCATGGAAACCATAGTTTAACACTGATGATATTAGTTGTAATGCATTTAAAAAAGTTATTTAGAATATCAACATATTAAGCAAATAATTGTAACTTTCATTTGGTGCATATACAGCAGGTAAAATAAGTCTTGAACACGTCATTTTTCTCAGTAAATATATTACTAGAGGTGCTAATGACATGAAATGTTCACCAGATGTCGTTACCAACCCAAGTGATCCATACATACAAAGAAATCGAACCATAAATGTCCAGAAATGAAGTTATTTGTAATAATGTGGAATGGCACAGGGAAAAAGTATTGAACACGAAGAAAGGGAGGTGTAAAAAGGCATGGAAAGCCAAGACACCAGCTGAAGTCTCTCAGTAATTAGGAAACAAGCCTGCCCCTTGTCAGTGCAAATT